CCCCCTCCCTCCTCCCGAACCTTGTCCACTCTCCCTTCATCCCCGCACCCGCGGGTCTCATTCTCCATCTGCCCTGACTTGCCATTTCCTCCTTGTGGAGTTTCGGGAAGCTGGAGCTGAAGAAAGGGAGGAGGGGCAAGGAGGAACAGCGATGGGCAGTTAAGCACTCAGTCGAGCATTCAGCAGAATCTCGTTCATTTGATGTTACATAGTTCACAGACCTCCGACGTGACGCAGGAGGGAAAAACTCAAAAAAATTATTTCGCTCGAGGATGATGAGAACAAACAGATTCTGAGGAGCCCGCAGGCTCACACGCTGTCCAAGAAGTCTCCCAGCAGCTCCTCCTCCTCTTTCGTCTTCTTCAGCCCTGCACACGGAGGCTCTCACGACGCGCAGGGGAGAGGCAGCTGACTTACCTCCCATGGTAGGAGGAAGCACAGAAACCCCCTTCTCCGTGACGTGAGGCTTGGGCTTTCGGATCCCCGATTTCTGACACATGCTCATTTCAGGGAAGAAGACAGAAGAAACGAGGCCAAGAGAATGCGAGGGAGGAGGGAGGAGGGAGGAGGGAAGAAGGCTTACTTTTCCACTTTGCGTGAATTCTCGCCAGCTGTCGATGCGATTCAAGCGAGCTTCGTCCCAATCTTTTGCGACGTTCTGAAGTAGCAGAAGGATCAGCGGTCATGAATGGAGCAACAATAGCAGAAGGATCAGCGGTCATGAATGGAGCAACAATAGCAGAAGGATCAGCGGTCATGAATGGAGCAACAATAGCAGAAGGATCAGCGGTCATGAATGGAAAAACAGCGTTTCACCTCTTGCACTTTTGTCTCCTGCTTGAGCTTGGCTAATGATTCCTTGTCTCGCTTCTCGTTGGCGATGAAAACTTTCTCTGCATGAGATCGTCGCTTCTCGAGCTGAAAGATTTTGTCAGAGGAATGTCTCAATGCAAACTCACGGACCTGGTTCAAGATGCGCAAAGCAGCCTCTCTCGTCCCGTCCACTAACATGTCCTCCTCCTCTTGGTTGAATTCATCTGCATCCGCAGTCTGCAGGAATCGTCATCATCTCCACCATCTACTAACTTATCATCATTGACCAAACAATGAACTCCATCATACTGATCTCCATCGTCTCAATCCTCCTCCTCATCCTCATCCTCCTCCTCCTCCTCCTCCTCCTCCTCATCGTCATCGTCATCACGCATGTTAAGGGACCTGAAAGGTATCATCCTCTGCTTCCGTGCGCGGTCGCTTCTTGACGCCACCGAAGAGAGCACTGCGAAGTTTGTTCACATCCGCAGTTCGCACTTTCTTGCGAGCAGCTGCTTCCTCCCGCTCCTGGCGCTTGCGCTTCTTGAGCTCTCGCTCGGCCTCCTGCCGAGCTGCATCCATCACTTCGACATAGAATTTGCGTTTATCCGCATCCTCCAGCTCGGCCAGCGCTTTCTTGCAGGCTTCAAAGGCTTCCTCGGCACGGGGGTGCTTGCACTTGTCAGGGTGCACCATGAGCGACACCCTCCTGTAGCCCATCTTGATCTCCTCCACCGTCATGTCCACGCGGACTTGCAGCACCTCGAAAGGGTTCAGCTTGTACTTGAGGATTCGCTCAACTTGCTGCTTCCTCTCCAAGTCCGAGGTTTCGGAAAAGAATTCTGACAGGAGCTCGAGATCAGCCTCTGCCAGCGGCTCTTCCGGCGGCTCCTCCTTCTTCTCCTCTTTCACTTTCACGTCAGACTCATCAGTCGCCTTTCCTTGGTCCTTATCCTTCGCCGCGTCCCCTGCAGGCTCAGCTTTGGCTGACGGCATGATCTCCGCAAGCCCCTTGAGGAGTGTGCTGTTTTCAGGCTCGTAGCGGAGACCCTCCTGGTAGGCCTGGATCGCCTCGTTCCTTCGGTTCAGCCCCACCAGCGCAGCCGCTTTCCTTCCGTAGCCCTTGGCCCATCGAGGAGCAAGGTTGATACACTTCTGCGCGTCATTCAAAGCGCTTTGAAACTGACTGACAGACGAGTATGCAGCGCTTCTGTTGGAGAACAGCACGTGGTTGCTCTTGTCCAGCTCGATCGCGTCCGTGAAGAAAGAAACAGCATCCTCGAAGTTCCCGGAGCTGAACGCCTTGTTGCCCTTACTCTTGAGAGTTTCAATCTTGCTTGCCTTGGCCGTTGCAGCGCTCTGCTTCTGATCTTCCTCCGTCTTGCATGGGTCACTCACAGCTGCGCTTTGAGATTTCATCTCTCCGAACGGCTCGTATGATGCGTTCTTCTGCGCCTCGACATGTCGCTCTTTGAGGTCCTCGATCGCTTGCTTTGAAGCCTCTCTGCCGGGCTCGAGCTCAAGCATCCTCTGGTGCACTTCTATCGCCTCTTCGAACCGATTCAGTCCTTCCAACGCTGCTGCTTTCCTGCCATGCCCTTTGATCCAGTCAGGATTGTTCTTGACGCACTCATTGGCGTCGTCCAGAGCTTTCTTCCACTCCCTGCAAGAGCATGTGCTCACTCTCAGCACGAACATGGTCGCAGTACCTCAAACGCGCGTATGCAGCACTTCGGTTGCTCAACAGGACGTGGCAACCTGGACGTTTCTCCAACCCAAGTGTATAGAACCAGATGGCATCATCGACCTTATTGGCTAAGAGAATAAGCAGAAATCAGATGCAGAAGAGATACATGCAGAACATCTGGTCAAGTACAAAAGCTTGTTGACGAGCAACAGGACAATCGACATGCCAGAAAACAGAGACCATCTCCGTTCATACGAGATCAGAAAAGAGATAACATATTGATTCATATGATTTCGCATTCAGTGAGGTCAGAGTTGCATCGACACTCCACGACAGTGCGAGAGTGACAAAAGACCCAAGTGAAGTCGAATCATGCTCGTGTGCATGCGTATGCGCATGAGTGAGAGCATGGCGGACGAGAGGCAGGAAGAGCAAGCATCCTCACCTTGAAGCATCTTGTTCCCCAGCTCCTTGCAATCGTCTGCGCTGCTTCCCTTCACCCCCCCCGGCAGAAGAGCCTCCGCTACCGCCGCCATGGAATTGTCTGGACTCTTTTTGGGCCTCGTCCCCGCTAAGCCTCTGGCCTCTTCCCCCTCCTTGCCCTCTTTACTGTAACGGCTACGTTATATTTGGGGCAGAGAGGGGATGTGGGGGACCTCTAAGGAGATGGCGGGAAGATCATCAAATTAGGACTAGGGAAAGGAGAACGAGAGCAGGAGGAGCAGGAGGAGCAGGAGCAGGAGCAGGAGCAGGAGGAGCAGGAGGAGCAGGAGGAGCAGGAGGAGCAGGAGGAGGAGCAGGAGGAGGAGCAGGAGCAAGAGAAGAGAAGAGTAGATAAATCAAGAATGAGGCAGTGTCGGATAGTGTTGGGCTGTGGAGTTGCTTTTAGTTAAGACATGCCGGATGTCGTGCCGATGGTGTGGTGTCGACGTCAAGAGGTTGCTGTACATGGTCGTCTTGTTCGGTCCTCTTCTGCAAGCTCCGTCGCTGGCAGATATTTCTTTGAAAGGCGATACCTTCGGCCAAGCATGTTTGCCCATCCAACGCGCCGGATGGAGCTCGGGAGGTTTACACAGCATTGCAAGAGACCAAGGCGAAGTGATCCGCAAATTACCCAATAGCGACGAGACTTTCATCCTCGACTTTGGGAAGAACAAAGGGAAGAAGCTGACAGAAGTGTCCAAAGAATACATCTCATGGTTGGTCAACCAGCAAGTGTACAAGAGCAGACCCGCGCTTCATGCTGCTCTGCTGTCCATGCAGATCTTCAGCAAGACCTCACAGTCCTCGTCAGTGGACAAGCCTAAGGAGGACAAGGGCCATATCAAGGGCCACCAGCACAAGGAATCCTGCAAAGCGAGCTTCCATGATCGGGAAGTACTTGCTAATATGCCTGGCCTGGATGTCCCACATGCTCTTATCGCTCACCTTCCGTCTGCTCAAGGCTCTGCGTCATTGGCCAGTGACACGACAGTCGAAGTTGGTGACGGCGAGCACGAGGAGGATCAAGCTGATGCCCCTGACGTCCCGTCGAACTCGCCTGACCCGTTCAAGACCGTCAAGAATAGCGAAAAAGCGAGAGAGGAGGCAGAGACAGGGGTTGCTTGCAGCCATGGCAGCAAGATCAAAGTTGAGAGAGCATGGAAGGCAGCGCACTCGCACGTGTCGGGCTGAGGAAGACGACCATCACTTCCTTCTTCCAACGAACGGGCAAAGTCGAGGGCCTGACGGGCGTCTTCTCGTTCTCGCACACTGAGAATCCTGCGACACCTTCGCCGAAGAAGATAAGGAGAAGCAATCTTTTGCGAGATGAGCTCAGGTGCGAGACGGGGCAGGGGGAGGATGGGGAAATGAAGAGCGGCAGGGGGAGGGGCAGGGGGAGGGGCAGGGGGGAGGGGCAGGGGGGAGGGGCGTCGTTTTCATGTGCTTAGGTTCACTTCTAGTTGGATCCGATCGACTCTTCCTCCTCACCTCCGCAACTCTTCTCTCGCTCCCTCCATCGTCTCAAGATTCGTGCGGCCGCTGCCCTGCGGGTCGGCGACGTACAACGAGCGACTTACGGCTGAACTTGAACTCATCGACTCGTTGGGTTTCGAAGAATGCTTCCTGCAGGTGAAGTGTAGGGAGGGAGGAAGAGAAGTAGGAGTAGGAGTAGTGGTAGGTACAGGAGAAGGAGGAGCAGGAGGAGCAGAAGCAGAAGCAGGAGTAGCAATGGGAGGAGGAGGAGGAGGGGGAGGAGGAGAAGCAGGAGGAGGTGGAGGAGCAGGAGCAGGAGCAGGAGCAGGAGCAGGAGGAGGTGGAGGAGCAGGAGCAGGAGCAGGAGCAGGAGCAGGAGCAGGAGCAGGAGCAGGAGCAGGAGCAGGAGCAGGAGCAGGAGCAGGAGCAGGAGCAGGAGCAGGAGCAGGAGCAGGAGGAGTAAGACCAGGAGCAGGAGCAGATAGTGTAAGACAGGAGCAGGACAGAGGGAACCAGTGAAAGCTGACATGATGGCGGCAGGTCCTGAAGTTGCTCGAACTTGCTGAGGGGATGCCTTACATAGTCAGAGGGTCTGCTGCCGGATCTCTCGTGTGCTACATGCTCGGAATTACTCACATCGACCCTGTACAAGACTTCTCTCGCTCTTCACTCCTCTCTCCTCTCCTCTCTCCTCTCTCCTTTCTTCCCCCTTCTCTCCCTCTTCTCTTTTCCTTCTCCCCCCCTTCTCTCCCCCTTCTCTTCACAATCTTGTAGGTCAAAGAGAAAATGTCGCTCAGTCGCTTCATGAACGCGTTGAGAAAAGATCTGCCAGACATTGACATTGACTTCCCTCACAACGAGGTTCGTCACGCCTCAGCTTCTCTTCGTCCTCGAGCTTCTCACTCCTCCTCCTCCTCCTCGTCCTCCTCCTCCTCCCTCCCTTTCATCCTCCCTCCCTTTCATCCTCAACCGCTCGTCTGTGCTTTCATCATCCCCCTTTACGTTTCCTTATTTCCTCTTTCTTTCCTCTTCTTTCCTCCTCCTTCATTTTCCTCGTCTGCATCATCCCTTTCCTTGTTCGTTTCCTCTTGACAACTTCATAGAGAGACAAAATCTTCGAGAGGATTTTCCGTCTTTTCCCCTCTCAGTCTGCGAGGATTTCAAACCATGTCAAGTTTCGAGAGCGATCGGCCAAACTTGAGTCTGCCAGAAGACTTTCACTACAGTGAGTGACTCCGTCCCCCGTCCCCCGTCCCCCGTCCCCCGTCCTCCGTCCCCCGTCCTTGCTCATTCCTTCTGCTTCCTCCTGCTGCCCGTGTTTCTCTCACGACCTTGGCAGCTGCAGGATACCCAGGGGGGTCAGCCCGGGCGAGTTCTTTCAAGGCCCCGTCAAGCTTCGCTACCAGGAGCTGGCCAGCAGCCTCGTCGGTCGCTTCCGCTGCTACTCTCTGCACTGCGGGGGCCTCGTCATCCTCGATGGGGGAAAGTCGCACGTGCCGGAGGAGCAGCTGGTGAAGGAGACGCGGGAAAGGCCGGGAGAGCGAAAGTTTCTTGACAACCAGGTCAAGTGGGACAAGAGAGATTGTCAAGAGCGCAAACTTTTCAAACTTGACATCTTGTCAAACCGCGGGCTGTCGCACTTGTGGAGCATCTCAAGGAAGCATGTGTACGAGTATCCAGCGGACGACCAGCAGACGGCGAAGCTCTTGCAGGAGGGCGACGTGATAGGAGTCATCTTCTGCGAAAGCCCGGTGAGACAAGCTTCTTCCTCCTCTACCACATCTGTTTACTTACTTGCTCCTCCTCCACCACCTCTTTCCTTCTCTTCGTTGTCTTCCTTCTCCCTCTCTGGCGTCCAGGCCATGAAGAAAGTTTTGCGCATTCTCGCTCCCTCAAACAGACGAGAGCTTGCGCTCGCTCTCGGTCTCGTCCGACCAGCCGCGCAGGTGACCAGCAGCTTCACTTGCTCTCCTCACGTCATGGCAGACGGCCAGGAAGTTCGGGCGTGAAGATCTTGTGCGGGAGACGTTGCTCTTGTGTTTGACGATGACGTGATCAACATGCTCAAAGTGATGTGCCTCCTCCTCCTCCTCCTCCTCCTCCTCCTCCTCCTCCTCCTCCTCCTCCTCCTCCTCCTCTTCCTCCTCCTCCTCCTCCTCCTCGTCTCTTCTATTCCCATCGTCCGTCATGCCCTCTGCTTCCTCTCCTCACGCTGCCTTCAACGGCTCACCTTGAGCAGGAACTGCTCGGGTGCTCAGAGGCCAGCGCGGAGCTACTGAGGAAGGCCTTCATCAAGGGCGACCCTTCCTTCCAGCTCGAACTCGAGCGCGGCATGGCAGTTGGAAACTTCACTGCGATGCAGGTGGGCAGTCAGCTGGGGGTTGACACCGTGACAGGCGTTTGACAGGTGAGAGATGCTCTGCTGAGGTTGGCCAACACAGACAAGTACTCCTTCTGCAAGAGTCACGCGGTAGTCGAGCAGCAGCTGCTGCTTCCTCCTCCTCTCCCTCACCTAATTTGCTGCCAGATGGGATACGCTCACCTCAGCTGGGCTCTTGCTTACGAGAAGGCGCACAGCCCAGCTGCTTTCTGGAAGAAGCACGTTGAGATCCTGCTCGGCGATTCAGAATCCGTCTACCGTGATCATTCCCCCTCTTCCCTTCTCCTGCTGCTCAGCATACCTCCTTCAGGCTGCTGCTGCTTCTTTCTTCCCTCTTCCCCTGTCTCGTCCTTGCCTCACCAGCTGACGTCATGCAGGCCCCTGGGTCTACAAGCGCGAGGCCTTGTTGGCTGGTGCCTCGCTGGCGGAGCAGCAGCAGCCGAGCCTGAGAGGAGGAGAGCTGGAGCCTGTGGAGCAGTTCATGTGCTTGACATGGAGGGGAGGGAGGGAGGTGACGTGCGAGCAGGAGGTGGGGAGTCTGGCTGGGAAGCTCGTTCCTGCCAGGATGCTTCTTCGATACCAGCAGCAGGTGAGAGTCTGTCGGCGTTGGGTGACCTGATGGATGCGACGCCCAGTGTGACGGGGGAGGAGACGACGGCGAAGTTTCGGGGAGTCTGGGCGGCAGGAAGGAGGTACAAGAACAAGGTTTTCTTTATCACTCTCGGCGTGGGCAACAAGCAGTTTGTCGACCTGGTCTGCGACGTTTCTAACCTGCGCGTGGGGATGGAGGACTTTGACGAGGCTGCGTCAGCAGCCTTCCTGTGGGGCGACGGGTAGGCGATGAGCTTGTTGGCGGTTGACTCACTTCACGCAGCCTCCTGCAACGAACCAACGGCAACGTCATGGTCCTCTGCCGCAACCTCAAGTGGTCTTAGGAAGGTCAAGCGATTTTCTCTGAGATCCGTTGGATGTAAACTAGCCTTCGCTCCTGCTGCGCCCTGTCAATCTCCTCCCATCGCCTCTCCTTGCGCGTTCGCTTTTCCTCCTTCATTCTCAGGTACCACCGCCTGCCAGTGCATGTCAGCGCTCCAGCTGGTCAAACTTCACTATCGTCCGACTGGATCTTGCGGAGGGACTTGTCTTGCAGGGTCGCATGCAGCCGATGTTTGATCTGCCGCCTCGTCAGCTCACCGGCCTGTCAGGAGCCTCCCGGACCCTCTCAAACATCTCCTCCTGCTCCTCCAGGTCCGGGCGGTTGAAGTACTCGGCAAGCCCATCTGCCCTCCAGGTGAACCGGCGGAGCTCCTGGTACCAGGCGCCGTCCTCGTCGTCCTTCCAAGCGAGGTAGAGGAAGCGAGTGTGCTGCCTGCTGGGCGACTTGCTTGACGGGGTTCTCACCACGATCTCTTGACCCCCTCCAGCTGGAATTCAGCACAGAGGAAGCAGAGCAGCAGCAAGCCAGCAGACTCACCGCAGAAGCCCTCGAAGCTCCAGCGCTCATGTTGGATGCAGTGTCTCATGTTGTACTCCCAGCTGGCGTCCTGCTGTCCCATCAGCGCCTCCTCGTCTCGTCGTCTCCCCGCACTCGCTCGCTCATCTCTATCAGCAGCATCCCAGCCTCCGTCAGCACCTGTCCCGGTTGTGAGGCCATGGCAAGCGGAGAAGAAGACAGCACCAGCAGGCATTCCTCCCAGTCCTCCGCCTTGTCCTTGTTGCCGCTTTCTGCGTGGAAAAGATCGGATGCCACTGGAGCAACTGGAGGAGGAGTGGGGGGAGGGGGAGGAGGATGAAGGGGAGGAGGAGGAGGAGGAGGAGGAGGAGGAGGAGGAGGAGGAGGAGGAGGAGGAGGAGGAACCTTTCAGCTTCCAGGCTTTCCCGCGACGTAAAGCAGGTTGATGAAGCATATCGTCCATCTGCAGTAACCTTGAGCTGAGAGCTGCTGGGGGAGAGCTGGGAGAGGAGCCTCACGCGGCGGGCTCGGAGGTTAATCGACTTGCGCTTGTCGCTCATCTCCTTCTTTTTGTTGGCGAGGACCTCGCTGACGTCAGAGTTGAGCCTGCGAGGAGCCGATGAGCCAAGCCAGGAGGGAAGCAGATACACGCACAAGATGATCTCTCCCGGTAGCTCCAGCAGGTTGAGAGATCTATCCGCATGCGCTTCCCGGGGAGGAGAGTCTCTGTCTTCGTCGAGCCTCTCTGCCCTGCTGACTTGCAACTCCTTCTTGACACTCCTCGCTCTGAAGCAGACGAGATCAGCTCAGTCACGCACAAGCATGTTGCTGCCTTCTCAGTGGAGATTTGCTTCCCTCCTTCACGCTCTTTGGCTGTTTCAACGGCAGCGACTTGGAGCCATCGAAGGGACGCGGCGGGAGATCGTTCGACCTGTTCCTGCAACCAGCACAACCTTCACAAGCCTCGCGATGACAGTAGGAGCGTCACGCTGCTCACGAACCAAGAGGGTTGGAGCTTGGAGACGTTCATGAGCTCGGGACGGAAGGTTCGAACAAGCAGGTTCTTGCGGATGGAGCTTGCTCGCAGCCGGTTATCTTGCTCCTTCACCATGTTCATGTGCTGCATGTTATGCAGCAGCCTTTCGCTCCTTCTGTTGACCTTGTTGAATCTCTGACAAGCAAGTGAATCGCGATAGAGGAGAACAAGGTCTGACCGTTTGCACAGCTCCCAGCAAGACTGTCGCCTCGTCCTTGCTCAGATTCCCTCTCCTTCGCCTCATCAGGCACCAGCTGAAAGCTTTCAGCTCGTCGCCTACCTGTCAAGTCCCATGCTTATCCTATCCGACGTCTTGATCTCCGCTATGAACCTGCTCGGCCCTCATTGTCTTCTCTATCAAATCTCTTCGTACTCTGAGAATTTCTCAGCTCTGGTCGCCTCCAGCTCGGAAATGTGCGAATCATGCGCTTGACTCGACGATCTTTGCTTGGCGGCATCTGAGACCATGTAAGCGGTTATGTCTGTTACTCCTCCTGCGGCGCAAAAGAAAATCGAAGAGGAGAACAAAGGTGTAAACAGACGCATACAAACATTCAGTCATCAGAATCGCCTCCACATGTCATCGAACAACATCACACAGCCTCTGAGCACCGGCTGCCTCCAAGTCCATCCAGGACTTCTCCTCCTTCGCCATCGACTTCTTTCCTGCTGGTCTAGGCGGCACCAGAGCTTCGCCTCCCTGCAGCTCCAGGGGATGACTGCTCGACATCAGCGGCGCGAGAGCAGCAGAAGAGAGTCCCGCACATCTTGACGTCTCGTCTGACTTTGCATCCTCCGCTAGCAAGCAACTCAGTCGCGCCTCCTCACGCCGATCTGCTTGCCTCACCCCTTGTAACCCCGCGCCTCCAGGAACCTCCGCGTGCCCAGGTAGAAGCAACTTTGCCGGAGATCCTCCCGCTCATGCTCCCGGAGGAAGTTGAACCTGAGAGGAGGTCAGAGGCACGGGGAGCGGAGGAAAGCCTTCACGTCGGAGAATCTTGCGATGCCGCATACGAGAACCAAGTCGACTCTCTGCGATCTCTGTGCTCATAGTCGGGTTTCTGGTACCTCGCGGTCAGAGCTGGATGCTGCCGAGGAGAAGTGAAACTCTGGTCGTAGCTGCTCTGTAATCGCGCCCTAGCAGACAAGGGGATGGAAAGAGCTGAAGTCATGCTTGTATCTCTTACAAGCTCAGACTATGTGCCAATCACCACAGACTGAGAGTTTCAACCAACTTTTGACTGCACATCCTTCGACTTGACCGTGAGTCAAGTCAAGTTGGATGTCTCTCATGCTCAGTGGGTACTGTGACGGCATGTCACCTGTTGCCATGTCTGAGTCCCATGTCACGAGTCGCTCGCTCTTGTCTTGTGCTTGTTCGGCTCTAACGGAAGGACAAAAAAGGATCCATAGGCCCGTAAAAGGTGGTTTTACTGTATTCAGGTAATTGAGAATAAATAAAATTCTTTCAGCTATCATCTTTCTTTTGGACCAATAGCCCCATAGCCTCCAGCTGTCCATAGGTTCTAGGGGTGGTGGGGTACTATGGTAGGGGTGATGTAGGCTCGAATTGAGGTCGTTTTCAAGGGTAGGGCAATGAAAGTCTAGGGTCAGGGTTTTGGGGGTTCCTCGCAGCGCGGCATGGGGGAAGGGAGCAAGGATGGACACGGGAGGGAGGAGGAGAGGGAGAGGGAGGAGAAGGAGAGGAAGAGTGACAGAGATAGGAAGAAAGACAGAGATGATCGAGATCGAAAGTCATCCCGAAGATCCCGCTCCAGATCGAGATCGAGGGAAAGGAGGAGGAGGAGCAGGAGCCCCGACCGGAAGAAGGATCGGGATCGACGATCTCGCTCTCGCTCGCGAGACAGGAGAAAACGGAGCAGAAGCCCCGACAGGCACAAGAAGAAGGACAAAGACCGGCGAAGATCCAGGAGCAGGTCCAGGAGCAGATCTCGAGACAAGGATGAAAAGAAGAGGAAGCGGGACGAAGAGAAGGAGAAGCAGAAGGAGAGGGAGAGGGAGAGAGAGAAAGAGAGGGAGGGAGAGAAGGAGACGACAAAAGAAAGTGAAGACAAAGAAACAGAAAAGGCCGTGGATAAGGAGAGAGAGAAAGAACTTGAAAAGGAAAAGGAGGTTGAGGAGGAGAAGAGGAAAGAGGCAGAACTGGAGCAGAAACGGAAGGAGCAAGAGGAGCTAGAAGAACAGATGAGAATCAGGAGAGAGAGAGTGGCTAAATGGCGCGAAGAGCAAAACAAGTCATCGGGAAATGCTGAGGAGGGTGCTGGCACCGAAAGTCATGACACCGAGATGGTGGAAGCAACGGAGATGGTCGAAGAAGAGACGAGCCAGCAGAAGCAGCAGATGGCGGAAGAGAACTACTTTGATAAAGACGACGACGACGAGGAAGAGATGAAGCCTGCAGCCATGGAGGAAGCCGGCGCTACTGAACCCCAGACGAATGAAGGAGCTGGTAAGGCGGAGGAGGAAGAGGAGGATCCCCTCGAGGCCTACATGAAATCCGTGAATTCTGAAGTGAAACAGCTCGAGGAGGTAGACAAGAAACGGATGAGCAACGTTGTGGACATGGACTCTATTCTGAAGATGAACAAGAATCAAGGTAGTGCAAACCAAGGGAAGTCCAGGTCCATGGAAGGATTGGGGGTTAGGATGGAAGTTGAAGACAGTATTCCCGACCTCGATGAAGAATTGAAGAGAAAGAATGAGGAGTTTGATATCAAGCAATGGTTAGAAAGTAAGAACCAATGTAGGAATCTTAGACCTGTCGATCATTCTCAGATGAACTACGTGCCGTTTCGACGCAATTTTTACATAGAAGTGCCTGAAATCGCCAAGATGACCGATGACGAAGTCAAGGATTACAGGTCGACGTTGGATGGAATCAAAGTGCGAGGAAAACGCTGCCCGAATCCAATCAAGACTTGGTTTCAATGTGGTCTCAGCGATCGTGTCCTTGCTGTGATCAAGAAGTTGAACTGGAAGAAGCCAACACCTATTCAGTGTCAGGCGCTTCCTGTCATCATGAGTGGCAGAGATTGTATTGCCGTCGCAAAAACTGGATCGGGAAAGACTGCAGGCTATCTGCTTCCTTGCTTTCGCCATGTGCTTGATCAACCTGCTATCGAGATTGGTGATGGACCAGTTGCGCTTGTTTTTACCCCAGCAAGAGAGTTGTGCATTCAAGTCTTCTTACAAGCAAAACATTTCTTTAAGCATACCGGAGTTACAGGATGTGCAGTCTATGGTGGTGCACCAGTGGCAGACCAAATTGCTGAGCTCAAAAAGGGGCCGCAGATTGTGATTTGCACTCCAGGCAGGATGATTGATATGCTTTGTGCCAATGCTGGAAGAGTAACGAATCTACGAAGAGTGACGTACTTGACCATCGATGAGGCTGACCGCATGTTTGACTTGGGCTTTGAGCCACAGATTACAAAGGTACTTGAGAATACGAGACCAGATCGCCAAACTGTCTTCTTCTCTGCTACATTCCCCAAGCAGATGGAAAATTTGGCAAAGAAGCACTTGAGAAACCCCATCGAGATGGTTGTCGGCGGTCGAAGCGTAGTGTCTGATACCATCGAACATTTTGTCGAGCTTCGTGAAGCGAGCACCCGCTTCCTACGCACTCTTGAGTTGCTTGGCGAGTGGTATGAGAAAGGACAAATTCTGCTGTTTGTGGAAAGACAGGAAAGCTGTGATGAGCTGATGGGTATGCTAATCAAGCAAGGGTACGCGGCCCTTACATTGCATGGTGGTATGGACCAAGCAGACAGAGACTCGACCTTAGCAGATTACAAGAATCAAGTTGCCAACATATTGATTGCAACCAGTCTTGCTGCGAGAGGCCTTGACGTCCCGGGGTTGAATCTCGTCGTCAACTATGATGCTCCCTCGCACTATGAGGACTATGTGCATCGAGTGGGACGTACGGGAAGAGCTGGGAGGAAGGGTACTGCGTACACTTTTGTTGACCCGTCGCAACGACAGCTCATTCCTGATCTTGTTCGCGCCTTGACACTTTCAAATCGACCAGTCCCTAAGGTAAGATCCATCCCTACCTCTCGTCTGCAGTATCTCTCTCACGTTTGTGATACAGGATCTGAGAGATCTCGTAAACGAAATCAAAGCCGAGAAGAAGAAGGGCAATAAGGTTGCCAAAGGCTCAGGCTTTGGTGGCAAAGGGTATAAGTTCGATGAGGCTGAGCAAGCCAAGATGAAAGAAGCAGCGGCGAGATCAAGAAAGCAGTTGCTGCTTCAGAATGGCGAAGAAGTATCTGACGACGAAGAAGAGCCCATGCAGGATGAAGACTTTGAAGAGCAAGCTACCAATCTCACTGTCCAACATCAGCAAAAAGTGGCTGATTGGTCGGCCAAGACGATTGAGAAGGAAAGCAACAAGGCATTCAATGACTTGGTAAAAAAGGCGACAGGAGGTCTTTTGCTCAAGGACATTGTCCCCACCAACGCAGCTGGTGTTCCAACGGCAGGCGCCATCGGTATGCCGTTCGAACGTAACATTTCAAACATGTCGTTTGATTGCGTTGCAGCTGGCGTTGCACATCAACACCCGACTGCTGCACCTCAAGCCGGGCAAGCCGGAGGTCAACCTTGACATGCAACCCTGGTTACACTGACACTCTTGCAGGAGCACTTGTCACAAGCGACATCGCTGCCCGCGCCAAGGCTGCTGCGGCTGCTCTTGGTCTCACCGCCTCGTCCGGTGGGGCAGCAGCTCCGATGGCAGGAGGCGGAGCGTTGGTGACTACAGGAGGAAATCCGCCGTCAGCCATGCAAGCCATGGAGGCTGCCAAGAGAGCAGCCGCGGCCTTGGGTCTCGGGGGCGATGGGACAGAGAATGATCATTATTCAGAAGAGCTCGAGATCAACGACTATCCTCAGGCAATTGCTCGCGACGAGACTTGTTGCGCACCTGACTGAACTCTCAGCACGCGAGATGGAAGGCGACTCATCGTGACAGCATCACTCCCATCATTGAGTTCTGCGATGTCTGCGTCACGGCAAAGGGCATCTACGTGAAACCGGGCCTCAACCCCCCACCTGGCAAGTGCTCTCCCTCGTGACTCGCGTTGAACTGCCTGACTTTCGCTTTGGGCAGGCGAGAGGAAGCTTTATCTGCTGGTGGAGGGAGATTCAGAGATGAAGGTCAAGAGCGCAATCAATCAGGTCATGAGCCACTTGCCTCTTGTAACAGAGTCTGACAAGCCCTCAGTTCAAGAAGTTGTTGCAAGAGGCCACGCTGGAGTCGGACGAGGCTCAACGTCCTTTGTTCTCCAAGTACACTGTGTAGGGTCTACTACACTATACTTGTTTACTGGTTTCATGATTAAAACTTTCTGCCAAATACTCGTTTCTTCCCATTCAACTCTTGTCTTTCACCTCAGGTGAAAGTTAGCCAAAAGCGGCGAAGAGAAGCGGCGAAGAGGAGTGGAGAGGAGGATTGGCAGCTCACGAGGTTGAGCTTGAGTGGTTCTGCGCTCCTTGTGTTGTCTTGTGCAGGAAAGTGTGCGGAGCCCAGGTGAACTCCGGGTAGACCATGGCGTACGAGGTCGAACTCCCGCTGTGTGAGTAGAGCTTATGCTTACTGCTGACAGACAAGAACTTTCTTCCTTTCATGCTCTTCTCAGCTAAAAGTATCTGGTCACTTGTGGCGTCTCCTGGGTAGCTAATCTGCACCGACTTCAGGCTTTTGAGCGACGACACTGTAGATGCAAGCGGCTGCGTTCTTGAAAGTCGATCCTTGCTGGCACGCAAGCTAGATGAGTGACCCTTCAAGATCGTGCGATCAAAATGAGGAAGATCATCCTCTTGACTCCAAATGTTCATGACATGCACTGTGAACGATTCTCTTCTTTGGCTCGGAGTCAACAGGCCATCGCGCTGCATGGGCAGCGATGGAGCTGCTTCCCTCACAGGATTGGACCTCTCATCAGAGACATCGCGTCTTGTTCTCATTGTCTTCTCTTGTCCATTCCCGACTCCTCCTTCACTATGAACCCTCCGCGCATGGCGCTCGATGCGGGTCCCTGCAAGCCATAGCGGTTCCATGTTGGATCGATGTCCCGAGCTGGGTTCAGGGTGGGGATGAGGCTCGCGGGCCGCCCGGCCGGGCCCGGGGCTCGCCGCAACTTGAAGGCTCCGAGTCAGTGAGGCTCAGGCCCTGATGCCATAGCCTAGTACTCTGACTCTATCTCGGCACCGGCGTTCGGCCCGGCCCAGCCTGTACCGGCCGCTACCGGGTACTCAGTAGCCTAGTAGCGTACCGTCACGGTGGCACTGCGGCCGCAGTGAGTCCAGCACGCTCAGTTCCGAGCGGCCCACTGGGCCGGGGCCCGGCGCGGCCAGTGATAGTAGTTCGGAACTGGCTCAGCTGCCGCCGCGCCCAGGCGGGCCGGCAGGCTGACAGTGTCACGCAGTTCCCGGGGCCGCCGCACCGGGCCGGGCCGCGCCCGGCCCGGGCCGCGCGGGGCGGCCCCTCCGGATCTCGGAGTCATGACTGTCGGGTGCCCTCAAATCTTATCCCACCGTCGGGGGAGATCCGTCTACGCCGTGACTACCCTACCTCCTTCTAAGGGACTACCCTACCTCATATACAAGTACCCTACCTCCGCTACATCACCGCGACTACCCTACCTCTTCTTTGACGTCCCTACCTCCCACCATCCAAGCAGTGAAATGAGTCACCCCCAACCCCCAAATGCTCTACCCCACCGAGTACTCCACCCGTATCGCCTCTATCACCCCCATTCCATTCCACCCCACCCAAGTAGATATAATAATCATCTCGCTGGTGGGGTGGGGTGTATGCTGAGTGGCTGAAACATGCGCGGGATCTTCTACTTGATGTGGACTACCTAGGGGTAGTTTTTATCAGGGGTAGGGGTGGGGCGGAAGATGACTGACTACCTACCCTTCGGATATTGAAAACAACCCCTGTTGCTCGCTTACCTCCGTTTTGTCCACCACTCGGAAACCTCCTAGGTATCACCCTACCCCCATAGATGACACATATAGTACCCTACCCCGCCATCGGATCTCGCTCTGAAGAGTCCCCAGCAGAATCGAGCCATAGACGAGTTGGTGTACCCCCCGGGTCCCTCAGGTCTACCCCCAAAACTCCCCAGGACCACCCACCATTGATACTCATTCCCTCAAACCAAATTCTGATCACCCATCTTGATAGGGGAGCCTAGGGGTGTAGGGGTGTAGTAGGGTGCTGATGTTAATAGAGGGGGGGAGGGGGGGTGCTCGATGTAGATATCGAAGGTGGGGTGGGAGGTATTAAAATATTTAAGTTAATATGTCCACGTCGATGAAAGTAGAGGTTGCGTTGACCCCATCCTCTTTCACCAAGGTACCGGTCATTTTTCATCTCCGTTCCAAATTTGTACACTTGGTACCAATATTTGATTGAAACTTGGCAAATTATTTTTTAAAATTTCAAAATTTCAAGAATAAATTTCTCAATTTTCCCACCCCACTATTCTACTAGCGCTTTGTTGTTGGAGGACTTGGGACAACGGTACAGAAGCACCTGCATGGTGGGATACCCCTACCCCCATTACATTATAGAAAACCACCCCCCCGTATCTCCCCTGCACTCGAGCGGCAGCCATGGGCTCGGTCGTGGCGCTGGTTGCTCTCTCCCTGCTCCTACCGGCGCAGGTAAGCTGGATATGCTCGCTCTCAGTCATCTATGCCATCGACCTCCTCCTTCCTCTTCTTTCTGCTCGGCTCTTCTCTTCGTACATCGCGTTGCGCATCGCATTCTATGGATCATGCTGGATCACATGCCATAGCGTGGTCCAGCAGGACGTCGAGATGCTGGCTCTATATTATCTTATGTTGCTCATCACACTGTTCTTGATGTTTTTCATTCTATGCCTGCTTCAATTATGTTCTTGTCGACGATTTGTACAAAGAGTGCGAGTGTCTTTCAACTTGTCTGTGCATGTTTGCTGTTGTGAGTTTGAGTTTCGCAGGCCTTTTACTTGCCGGGTGTTGCACCAAGAGCATTCAAAGATGGCGAGCCTGTCAAGATGAAGGTTCAGACTTTGGTGAGCACTGAGACTCCGCTGCAGTTCGACTACTATCAGGTGAAGTCTTCGACACATAACTGGAGGTCTTTTGTAATCTTGGTCTTCCAGCTTCCTTTCTGCCAACCAAGGAGGGTCCAAGATTTGCCTGAGAACCTCGGAGAGGCTCTGGCTGGCGAGAAGGCTCACACCTCCGCTTACAAGGCGCGTGTGCGCGTGAATGAGTATTGCAAAGTCCTCTGCCGCAAGACCTACACCCCCAAGCAAATGGAAGAGTTTCAGGATTTTGCCATTCTTGAGGTAATCCATGTGAGAACCTTCTATTCCCACTCATCGTCATGTTCAGTACCGTGTGAACATGCGATTGGACAACCTCCCTGTGGCTGAGATGATCAACTTCGCTTATGAGGACAAGCCCGACAAGACCATGCAGGTTTCAAAGAAAAGGTGATGCAGATGATTTCGAAATGATGTTGGATTTTCAAAGATTTACAATCTTGGCTATCCCGTTGGTGGCAAGCTTGCTCCGGAAGATGGTTCCAAGAAAACGGTACATGCATAAAGGAATTACCAAGTTTGCTGATCAATGCTCAGTCGCAAAGCACCGACACATATGTCTTGAACAACCATTTGCGCTTCAAGATCAAGTATCACCCTGTTGACACTGGAGATGGCATCACCTCCGAGGGTGAGCGAGGCAACTACATTGTTGGATATGAGGTAAATCTCTGTGGATGCTGAGCCCTGCTCTGAGCCCCACCTCAGGTCATTCCTTTCTCCATCAAGCACACCTACTACGGAAAGTGGAATCAGTCGGCCGTGCCATACCATCCCCTCACTACCTGTGCTGGAAGCCCTCCAAATGGTCGTTTCGAACGGTCTGATCACAAGTAGAAGTTGGGCTTCACTGAATCGCGATGCAGCCATCAGCCACAGGTCATTGACCCTGCTGAGGGCGGACAGGTCATCTGGACTTACGACGTTGAGTGGGAGCTCAGCGATGTCAAGTGGGCTTCACGCTGGGACGTTTACCTTCAGGTATTGTTGATAGCAAGAGTGAAAATGATCGTAATTGCTTGTTTTCAGATGACTGATGATAACATTCACTGGTTCTCCATCGTCAACTCATTTGTCATCCTCATCTTCCTCACCGGGTAACAAGGGCTTAGTCTCACTTGAGTCTGCTATTTACACAGTTTTGCAATCAGTATTGTTGGGTTGATTATGACCCGCATTCTCCGCAAGGATTTTGCCAGATACAACGAGGTTTGTAATGTGTTGTTCGACCATTCGGATAGTTAGTCTCACCGTCCAGGTTGCTCTTACTGAGGAAGAACTTGCGGAGGCCAATCGTGAGATGCGGTGATGTTTTCTTTGTGTGTCTGTGTGATGGGCATCTCATCTGTCCGTACAGTGAGGAGACTGGCTGGAAGCTCGTCTACGCGGATGTCTTCCGTGCTCCTCCTTTTGGAAGACTCCTCAGTGTCATGACGGGATCTGGGCTGCAGCTGTTCATTATGGTAGACTCGTTGTTGATAACCATATCCGAAGCAGCTAACTCTTGTCGGATAGACTATCCTGACCCTTCTGTTCGCTACCTTGGGATTCTTGTCTCCAGCCAACCGCGGAGCACTTCTCTCCTCGGTGACTTTGATGTCTCAGATTTATGGTGTGCTCACTCGCTTTCAGGTCCTCGTCTTCTTCGTGTTGATGGGCCTTCCAGCTGGCTACATGTCGGCTCGTTTCAGCAAGATGTTCAAGGAGGTTCGATCGGGTGCTGTCAACTCGATTGCAACCTGACATGGTTTGCAGGACAACCATTTCCAGACAGCCCTTTGGACTTCTACCATCTTCCCTGGAGTGAGTCCTTTGATTCACCCTCAATCAATCTTATCTGACTTGATGTTGGTCAGGTCTGCTTTGCCGTTTTCTTTGTGGTGAACCTTGTCGCTTGGGCGAAGCGATCGTCGACTGCAGTTCCTTTTGGTAGGCTCGAGACAATTTTGACGTGACTGAGACTTTCTTCAGGAACTCTCGTGGTCTTGGCTTTGTTGTGGTTTGGTGTTTCTCTGCCGCTCGTATTCTTCGGAGCCTTCCTGGGATACAAGAAGGACCCGATGACTGTCCCAGTGCAGACTAACCCCATCCCCCGTCAGATTCCTCCCCAGGTTTTTCTGTTGATTCTGATGTACATTCTCACTTACAAAAATAGCTCTGGTACCTGCAACTTCCATCTTCCATTGTAATGGGAGGACTTCTGTCCTTTGGAGCTGTATTTGTCGAGATGTTCTTCATTATCTCGTCCATTTGGCAGGTGTAGGAATATTCAAAATTTCACGGCATGTCTGATCGCGTTTGCAGCACCGTTTCTATTACATGTTTGGATTCCTTGCACTGGTCTTCATCATCCTCATCGTTACCTGCGCTGAGATCACCATCGTCTTGTGCTACCTCCATCTGTGCGCTGAGGACTACCGGTAGGGAACGATGCAAGCATGATGTGAATGCTTTCTGATGATGAGCAGATGGTGGTGGAGGTCATACTTGACCTCTGGTGCTGTCGCTTTCTACATGTTCCTTTATGGAGCATACCACTACTTCACCAGAGCTCACCCTTCGGCTCACTTTGACTCTCTCGCATCGAGCGTCTACTTTGGGTAATAGATTCCGATTTCATTTTGTCCTGCGTGCGGGATGCTGACCTTTGACTTGCAGATATCTGTTCATCTTCTGTTATGCAGTGTTTGTTTGCACTGGGTACGTTAACGTAGTGGTTTCACGGTCGGTCTGACTTGTTAACAGCTTCGTTGGGTTCTACTCGTGCTATCAGTTCATCGTTAAGATCTACAGCTCAATCAAGATCGATTAAGGGACAAGAGTTGGTCTCGGCGTTATGACAGCCTTGAGCCGGCGTCTCTTCATGAAACATCTACTCCACCTGTGAATTTGAGCCTTTAATTAAAGAAGCAAGAGACCGCTGACGCGACTGTAAACAATAGAGCTGGTGCCGGTAGTCTTAAATGGCACCGTAGAGCCTCACAGGGAGCTCCTGGCGCTTCCCCGCTCTCTTCCTCCTTGCCGCGACGATCAGGGCGATCATGGCCACATTGAGAACCACGAGGATGGCGACAGCGGAGGTAGACGAACCAGCGATGCGCTGGAAGAAGGGAACCTCACGCACCCTCACTGAAGTCTGGGCGAGGGAGTGAAGGTTCTCGGAGAAGTAGTAGCCCGGCAGCTGGTTCTTGATGTGTGCCGGAAGGTCGTGCTTGTTAGCAAAGACACCAAAAACAGTGGAGCCAGTGTCGAAGATGACGGTGAAAGTCTGTCGAGGAGTTCCGATGCCGACGTCCATGAAGTACTGGGTTCCCTTCTGGTTCACGATGGGGATGCGATCGACCTGCGTGAGAATCTCCTGGTGCTGGGCTGGGTACATGACCTCGTTGCCACGGAGAGCCCTAAGCTTCGCTACTGGAGCGCTGTTGAGCTCGAAGTTAGCCAGCACGTTTCTTGTGACAGGAACGTAACGCTTGTTGAGCGGAGCAATGCCGATGATGGGCTTGTGACCTGTCATATCGAACTCGACGATGTATTCCCGGAAGAAGACATCTCCGACGAGCAAGCCTTGCATGCCCTCAGGCGACGGCTGTACGCAAGTCTGATCGGTCTCGGCCAGGTACCATGAAGAGAAGGGGACTTCCCAGGTCTTCTGCCCGATCTCCAACCAGAAGGATCTTCCCTTCTTCCAGTGCTTGGCGAAATCATCCCAAGGAACGTTCGCCAGCTGGCCTTGCATGGAGTCCGCAGGGATGACCAAGCAGGAGGTGCCAGAATCCATGATAGAAGGAGCTCCGTAGTTGCGCTGAGCCTTGGACCTGAACTGCAGAAGCTCGACCGCTGATCCGTAGTTGTCACCAAACTTCAAGGAGGTGACGCCAACGATGAAGTCGTCGGAGGCCAACGCCGGTGTGTACCACATGGTACCTTGAGGCAGCGATTAGCCCACAGCAAAGCACAAGTATGTTGGGTACCTGAGGTGGTTGCGGGATCGTATCCTCCAAGCTGAACCTCAGCAGCATCATCGGTGGAGAAGAAGGAAAACTTGCGCTTGAGGTTCGCAGCGTTAGTGTCCTGCAGCACCGTCAGAACGTCTGGCGCCATGCACTCTCAACACGCCACCTTGTTCTCAGCGTCGGTCATGGCAAACAACACAGGGGTCGGGAGGTCACTGCCAGCCTTGGGGAGACCGAAGCCGAGGATACCGTCGACACCATTGAAGTCAGGGCTGTTGCAATCGGTGATGACACCTGCGCTGTCGTCACGGCAGACACTAGCACACGCCGCCCGTACCGAAGGGAGAAGTAGCCTTGTAGTCGCCCATGTACACTTGATCCACTCCAGAAAATCCCCTGAGGTGCGATCCATCCGCATAGTTGAGGTCGAAAGTCTGCAGCGAGAGGTCAAACTTGGCCCACAGGTCATCACAGGGAGGGTAAAGAGGTACCTGTGAGGTTTGGGCAACGAAGGTAGAGGACTTGCTCGCATCGAAATGCCTCGAGTCTTGGGGCCTGCGGTAGGGCGTCAACTTACATGACACCAACATGTCTGTCATCGAACCTGTAGGCCTCATCGAAGAGCTTGTTGGACGACTTCTCATCGGCTACCTTGAACTTTCTGCTATGCATGCGAGCATGTCGGCTGACAGATGCGCACTAGAAAACGTTTCAGTCCACAAGAGACATGGCATGCATACAAGTACCTGAACCCTGAAGGATGGGTCGGTATCACAGGGAAGCTCGTCTCTGGCCATCTGCAACACAGTGAGAAACAAAAACAGAGAAGCGAAAGGGAAGGATGAAGAAGCAATGGAGTGCAAGTGAGAATTTTATCCTACCTGGTCAGCATGCTTCCTTGCAAAGTCGTCAAGCTCTCGAACGTCAGTTCGGACATCCTCCCTTGCAAAGTAGGCATTGAAGTCTGCAAACATGTAAGAAGAAACATTGATATGTTGATAGCCCGACAGCAAAGACTACCCTACACAAATCGCAAGTTGCAGCAAATGGGACCGAGATGATGAAGGCATCGAACAGAAAGAAGATGTCAAGAAGAAACGAAAGCATGACATTGGTAGGAGTCATTCACCAGAATTTAGAAAAGTGGGAGAAAAGAAATCAGCTCAACAATGATCATTCACGGCACAACTGGCAGCAACGTAGGTGAACAAAACAAGATGAACTACATGAGCAGCAAGTTACAATCAACTTGTAGCTTCGAAACCTCTCACTGGATTTGCTCACCTCTTGCTGCTTGTCTTCCTGTCTCTTGAATCTTCGTGGGAACTGCCATGCCGACCCCCAACAGGCACGCCAGCGCCATGGCAGTCGCCAGCCCCCGTCCCACCATCGTGTCCCCTCTGAAGAGTCGTACCACCCTACCCCCAATTTAACGATATCTTTTCGGTGGATACCCACATATAAGGTAGGTAGGGTTCAAACGAAAACAATACACCGGTACATGGTCCCTAAAGAATTAGAACTAGAGGGTAGGGGTGGGGTAGGGGTACTAGTCAGAGTACGGGGTGATCCCTTTCGGTATACTTTGCCCACATCCCCACTCATTCTGACTCTCACTGCCGGGCTTGAGCCAGGGCTTGAGCAGGGCTTGAGTAGAGCCTATAGTACGGCCCCCGTCACAGTGCTGGTCAGTGAGGGCCCGGCCAGTGATCGGACCGGCGGCACCGAAGGCCGGCAAGGCCGGACGGTCCGGCCAGAGCGCGGCCGAAGGCTCACGGGGGGCCGCTGGTGTTTCGACGGCGAACACTTAGTGACGTAGCACTAAGTGACTTAATTTGTTGATTCAATGACGCTGCTAGGCTACTGAGGCAGAACGGACTAGTCCTGAAGTTCACTGACATAGCCGTGAAACTAGCACTTTCCCCTCCAATAAGGAGAGGTCTTGGGTACCTTCCAGTCCTCCCAGCTGAAGATCTTGTTGTCAAGGCCTTTGTACTTGAATTCCTCAGTCATCCCGTCGGAGGGAAAGAAAACCGCAAACTTGGACTTGGGCAAGAGGGGATCTTCTGCTTGCACGACCTTGCCTACGTACCAACGATGGGGTTTCTGCAAGAAGCAGTCAGTTCGAGACAAGACGAGCGATGTCAGGTTTCCTGGTACATCCGCTGGTACTTGCGAGTCACAAGAAGGTATCGCCCCGGCTTCTTCCGCTTCTTCGCATTCTCTTCGAGATCATCTTCCCGCTCCTCGAAGAGCACACACAGGAGCTTCCCCACTTCAATGTCCTTCGAGCGATAGTCGTGGCGTTGGCTCCACCATTTCTCCATGAACTGTACCTGCTTGGGGGATAGGACCTCTTCCTCCTCGTTCACATAGATCTCTGCGTCGATCATGAACTGTTTCTCCTGCTGTCCTAATTTACAACTTGAAGGTGCTCCTGCTGGCCACTTGGCTATTTCTTGCCCCGATTCCGACCCTTCACTGTCCACTGCCAACTTTCGCTTTCGCGATACAGTCGGTCGCTGTGCTCCACCATCTTCACGAGCCTTAGAGTTTTCAGCTGCAGGATCATGGGCAGCCTCCTGTCCCTCTACCTGGTCGACCGTTTCCTTGTCCATGTGCTCGCTGCCCTGGAGCAGGACTTCACTCGGTCTAGCCGGGGCCACTCGCTTGTCGAGCATGAATACCAGGTCGAGGTCTCTGCACATGAACAACTTTGCCTTGCTCCATTTCTTCCTGTCCTGCAGAAGGTCCAAGGCCTCGAACTCGATCTCAAAGCTGCCGAACGTTTCCTTGAAGGTTTTGGTGGCTTCCGGGAGGGAGTTCTTCCTTTCTTTAGTCACTCTGTGTGCATTCTGTAGGCCGGAGAGGATCACTCTGGCTTGCTCCTGCTCTTCTCTTGTGCTCATCAACTGATGGAGCAAGTGAACAACTTCAGCACCATCGATTCGAGAGATCTGATCTCCATTTCCGTTGATTCTCTCAAACAAAGAGCTCAATGCAAGGACAATTTCGTTAGTTTCCTCCTGATCATCTGGTATGACAGGCGTCGTCGAATCAGACCCAGCAACATTCTCACCATTCTCTACTTCACTTCTGCCGCTCATGGAATCCTTTAAGGTGCTCTCCGTTGTTTGATCGCACATATGTGAGCCCCTATTAGCTTCAATTGAGTTGGACGAGTCGTCCTGTGCGACGGACTGCAAACTTGGCACGCTGGTCGTTTGCGTTGCTTCATGAGCTGTTGAACCACCTTCTTCTTGAAGACTGTTTTCAGCTTGTCGATTTTGTTCAACTCTTGCATCAGATGCAGTAGCTGTTTGAGGAGAATCGCGCTGTAGTAGTTGACTTGGAGGACATGTTTGTGTTGATGCATCAACTCTTTCCACTGCAGCCAAATGTGGCGAGGCCTCAATATCAGGCGTAGTTGTTAAACCTTTGGAGTTCAGCATCGACGAGTTCTGATGCTGGAATGGTAAATCGTAAAACGATTTCATTTCTTCATAGACTTTCTCCAAGCTCTTCCCCAACTGCTTTCGAGCGAGCAGCTCGGATTTCAATTTGATCATCATGTCGTCTTCAAAACATTTCATGACGACGAGGAGATTGTTCTTCAAGTCTCCTCCCTCTTGAAACGCGGCATCTTTCTCCAAATTTACCTCCCTGTACACAATGTCCACCTTACTGTCTTGAATCGACAAGAAATGTTTCTTTAAGCACTTTCGCAGCGTTTTGATCGTTTTGACATGTTTCGAGAAACAGCGCTTGAGCCTTCTCATTGCAGGGGTATTCGTTGTTTCATCGTAGGATGGGTCGAGATCACTGTCATCGTGCCTTTGACTAGCAAGATAGCAGGTCTGCCACTCATTTCTGTGATCTGCATGATCATGATTTGTCGACAGACTCTCTGAGGTACCAGGGTACCAGGAACACAAGGTTGGAAGTAAAACAACAAATCAGATTCGATAGCAACTATGCAGCTTCTTTACCTGCATGCTGTGAAGTATCCCCTACGCACGCAGCGCTCTTGCCATTCACCACCCCCATCCTGATGATTGTGAGCTGGCTAACCCAAAGTGACAAGCAATATTTACCTGTGCGAAGTTGGACAGTCAGGAAACCCATTGATCGTTCCGTAGCACAACGAAACATTTTCTGCCCATCGTCCAGACTCTGCACAACTCATCGCAACATCCGCATCCCTTGCCTCATTATCAGCATCTATCTGACGACCATGGTGGTCTGGCTGTGATGATGAACTTGCATTCTTGACCTCGATGAGAGTTGATTCTGTACTTCCTGTATCGGCCAAGACAAGAGGGACTGGATCGCAATCAAGAATGTCTTCATTTTGCAAATTGGTATGATCAAGAGCATCATCTTCCAACGTAACGGAGAGATTGCACATGTCTTTGTGTAAGAGGTGCAGACCGATCCAATGGTCGTTTAGCAATATGGCTCGTTGAAAGAAGCTTTTGTTTGTAATCCCGTCACTGATCAGATCTTGCAGGGTCTCATGGAGCTTGTCAATCGCAATCACATCGACTTCTTCACTTCCCAGCTTGATCAGATGTCGACCTGTCATCTTGCACAAATGTTCTTCTTGCTGCAACTCATCCCACTGGATTTGACCAGAGATAGCATGAAGAAAGGATCGAGAGAGAGCGAAGAGATGATCATCAATCTCAACACATTTCACAACTTCACATGTGTCGTTGAGAGTTTCAGGAACATCCAGATGAACGTGAAGTTCCGTGTTATCAGCTCTCGTGACCCTCTTGAAAAATTCTTTGCAGTAGTACAAGACGTGTCTCTCTTCCTCTTTGAATAAAACCCTTTCCACTTCCACCGGGAAGTCCTCTACAACAGAATCACAAGCAACCAAAATTTTGATTTGTTTCATCACCTTCCAAAGAATCGACAGTTTCTTCTGCTGTGTTGTGTTCAGCTGTCACTATATTTGTTGACGGACCCATGTCTGTCGCCTTCTGTTGACATTTGATCAAAATGTGAACGCTATTTGATTCTAGCAAAGCATTACCCTCGCATCTGACTCGATTGATCCAGGGACAGCATCATAAACAACAGAGTCATCTTCAGATGCTGCAATTTAGTTTAGGATTGATAAAAGGACCCACCAAAACACACCTGAACCCTTCTCATTCGTAGATCTTAGTTCCTCATTCTCAGAGGAAATATTTCTTTCAAAATTTGAAGGTTGGTCTATTACAGATGCAGCCTCCTGGACCCTAGATACAATTTCCTCGTAAAACGTACTATGGATACTACTACATTTGTCGCCATTGACGCTCTTGGAAGAATCTGAACACCTCAGATTAAATATTTCATCCTGCAGCGTTGCAAAGTCATTTCCTTTGTCCCTCCAGAAACGGTTTACCATCATCGTAGTGCGACGAAATGGCAAACAGATCAGAATTTGGTCGCCGCAGCCCTCACTCATTACACTCTCATCGCGATTTTGTTCAAGATTGTTGGCCTGAGAGGAAGCAAAATGGCGCTCAAGGTTACACCAGTGTTCATCCAATCGTCTTGCTTTCTCACGAAATAGTCTGATTTGCTCTCTAGGCTTTTGACGAATTTTGAGAGGTTGTTCCTTCAATATATTCCGAACAATATCCTTCAAGCACGCATGCAAATTCTTCACTTTTATAGAATCATCTGAACCATCTTCTCCTTTGTCACCGATTGCTCTCAAAATTGCCTTTCTAAGCTCAACAGAGAAACTTGCCTCGTTGTTGATAAAAGAGAAGAAGTCTGTTTTGCTTATACTCCATTCTCCATCTTTTTCAAAGCATGCGATAGTCACAAAGCGACTGTGACGAGATAACTCCAATAGGCCATCTTGCTTCAGACGACCGAAGTAGTATTCCTTGACAACCACATTGGACAAGTTTTCTTGATTCCTCTCAACCCCGGAATCGTTATTTTCATTTTCGTACACATTGTTCGAGTCATGGTTTTCCAGCCATCGAGAATCTGCATCCACACACAATTTACAATCTTCCAATTTGGTCTTCGCCTTTTTCAAGATATCATCTAAATCCGTAAGATTGAACGTCGCAACTCTCTCGTTCGTGAAAGTTCGGAATTGAAACACCTCATTCATCACCCTTTCGATGGTTTTTTCCTTACGAAGAGGAGAAAGGCCGAGAGCAAATTGCATGAAAGTTATTGCAGACACGAAAAAAATGTTTTCCTCTCGCTTGAAAAGCATCAAAGATCTTTGCCTTCCATAACATTTGTCCTTTAACATCAGAAAATATCCTCCTTGCGTTCCTCTCAAGAACCTGAAGCCTTCACCTGCGCAAGTAATCACCTCAAAACTGAGCAGATATTTTTTCGGTTGCATTTTTGTTCTTCAACACAGTATCACAGACACGTGTCTATTACAAAACAGTTTTCATGCAAAGGCGCACTCAGTCCAACAAAGTTATCACGAATGCGAGTCTAAGTCATCCTTTTCTCACCTTCACGGATCATATCGTCATTCTTTAGCATGTCCTTCGTTAACCCTATTGTTGGTAATTTGACTTCTCTTCGACACATGTAAGACTCGATCACATTCATTTCCTCATTGATTCCATCCAGACTGCTGGTTGCTCCAAACAAAACATCTTCTTTCCTCAAGTTTTCGATACCTTCCTTTAGACCTGCCTTCGATCCACATTTCAGGCCTGGAGCGTTCCCATCGAACAAGATCCCAAGAACTGCATCTTTGAACTCATTGAGGTAAACGAGGTCCACAGCACTCGTGCCCTGAGGTGCTGCGATGATTTTGAGTCTCTCCTTCCACTTCTCCCTCCTTTTCAGCTCTCCGATCACAGCAGAGGAGTAGTGGACAATGCTGTTCACGGCTAAGGCTTTACGATTGAAGAATGACCTGCAAGACAGAAGAAGCAAGTGATACGAGAAGAATTATAGGAGTCAAGACACTTCAAAGCCAACAGGTCAACACTAACCGCACAAAATGAGCTGCAGCGACGTAGATCTCATCTTTCTCTGTGAACTTCAAGACCGAAAGCTCAGCTCCAAGAATCGCGTCGCAGTTAAGAAAGACTTTGAATTGAATCTTGGATAATATCAGTCGAACGGCAAGAGACAACACTTCAAGTTACGCATTCGTCTTCATACTTGTTTGACATCCTTCCTCGTTTCGCAGGGACGCAAGCCTGTCAGAAGCCACCTTCACTGTTTGATAGCAGGGTATTCTCTGCTCATTTGCATTGGTTACAAATACTCGTCTACACTGAGCATTGCACTCTATGCTACTCAGCAATTGAACAAAACAAACTTGCAACGGCCTAACATCGGCTACCATCAGCCAGACTTTGACTTCAGTTGCTGATGGCAAAACAACAAGGACTGTATGAGTAAAATGATCGTGAACATGTGTGAATATATAGTGAGGTGCTCACACAAAAACACTGAAGGAAGATTGCTGCGTTGAGAATAAGACGACAAGGAGCGTGGAAAGACGAAGCAAACCCATCTCAGACAACATAGTATCTTCAACTTCAGAAAAGATGGAATTGGATCCCTCACATATTTCGCATGAAGTATTCATGCATCCAACCTATGACAGCTGTGATGGATGGGGACGAACAGCAAAAAATCTAATATCAACGCCAAAAAGAATGGAAGATAGCAGGCCGAGGTTGGATTATGACAGAAAGTTGTTGGAAAACCAATTAAGATAGTGTAGTTCGAAAAGATCACGAGAAGAGGAGGCAGTGGAGTAGGTGGAATCCGGGCAATATCAACTATTTTGTCTGAAGACGTGATGAAAGATGATGTAGA